AGCTTTCCAGAGGCACAACAGGCTCACTCTGATCATAGCATCGTACTCCAGCTGCCAGGGAAAAAGGCAAGCCAGACTCTCTCGTGTTCTCTAAGCTCCTTTGAGCAGTCTGAATGGCACAAAGGAGCTCAGGAAATCTGCCCGTCCTGCCCAGCTGCTCCAGAGCCAGCCCCTGCTGCGGCTGCTCCCCGGGCACGAGGGATGTCTCACCGATGGGAGGACCGCTGGGGACAAAGAGGGACCAGACCCAGCTCCCTTGCCATAACTCACATCTGGCCTCTGGAAGCTACCTGTGATTAGGGCAAGCCTTCGCTGCTCCACCTGCTTCACGGGACTAAAGGACCAGGGAGCTGCAACGGGCTCACTGACCATCCTCTGGCCTCAGCACAGGACAGGACCCGGGCCCTGGTGTTATTGAAGCTCCCTCCGTTTCTCACTTCAGTAAATCAAAGCAGAAGGATATAATTCTTATTTTTCATCAAATATATAGAAATATTACAGCAATGTCTTTCCTCACAGCTGGGAAATGATGCAAGGCCTACAATGAAACCACAGCATGAGGATCTTCCTTGTGGAAATTTCACATACACCAAAATTATACTCTGATTTTTTATTTTAACAGTTGCCAAATTCTGTTCTAATATATACACATACTGATCTTCGCCACAAGCCCCTGGATGATTATCAAGGGAAGGAATTTGGCTTTTATATTTTATTTTTTAAACAAGAAAGGTAAAGACAGAAAATAAGACAAAATACATTTCATGTCGCCATTGATCTATAGATTACAAATATATATAGTTTCCTTCCAGAGGAAGAAATACTAAAGAAATATTTTGCTCATATCAAATGAACTTTTGAAAACAGAAAAAAATAAAAAGTATATTTTTCAGCTCCTCCCTCTCTGCCACAACAATTGCTCTTGTTTAACAACAAAAAAAAAAAAAAAAAGAAGAAGAAGAAAATAATTGCATTCATTTCATTTCCACAACTTCTACTAAGGAAGAAAAACTTATCTGAATAATGACCTGAGTTATTTTCATGGTTTCCAAACTGCTTGTAATCCCGATAATCACCATCTACCAGAGACCTACACCTAGCAAGGTGTGTGAAAACAAACACCAGTGGGTCTTTCAAAACAAACAACAAAGCAAAATTCAGAAATCTATTGCAAGAATTATGGCAAAAGTAGGCCGTGAGCGTCTTCATGGGAACTGGTCAGATAAAGTGGAAGCTCTGCTGTTTCTGGCAGCTGAGTTGTCTGCAGTGACTGAAAACCTGAAGATGAACATTTTATGTATGCCTGTGTGTATGTCTGCTTGCTTTCTCTTCTTTTGTGGTTATAATCTTTGAGGTAAGACAGGGAACAGATGAGTAGAGAAGACACAGCTGACCTTTACAGCGGCTAAGCAACTTTACGTTTCCAAGCCTACAGTGGGTAACGAGGCAAAAAGCTGCCGCTTGTCCTTCTCCAGTGGGATAGCCTCTCTGAAATTTTGTTCCCTTGGGGACTCAGATAGTTTACAAGTTCAGCCAAAGAAGGTTTTCCTATTCCCAATGCGACCGGGGCAGTGCTCGTTCATTTGTTGATGGCAGCAAGCCTAGGCTGACCACTGATGTTCTAGCGGTCTCCTTCCCACCTCTGGCTGTAATGCAAAGGGGACTGGGTCCAGAAGTCAGTCCATCAGAACACCCTCCATCTTGCACAGATCTCTCCCCATTGTTAACCCCATCTTTTCAAAAGTAAAAAATAATAGCTATTAACTTTTAGGCAGGCTTGAAATCTGAGCAGAACCAGGTTGGCCTTATGCGCGCAATGACGGTGTGGAGAAACCTGACTGGTAACTTTCTGCTCTGCCATACAACATGGTGTATCCCATGTAACTCCTTTCCGTGCAAATGACTGTCTCATGAAGGTACCGTAACCGCATACCCAGCAACAATGAGGAGGCAAAGTTTTGTTACTGCCATAAATCTAACTGTGCCTCATACCCTAGGAAACAAGGCAATAGGCAGAGTCCTCTTCAAAAGTGAGAAAACTCCCCGGTGATCGAGCACTGAGGACACAGCTTCTGAGAGGACAGCAAGGGAGGGATAGGTGGTAAAAATGTTGGGTTTTTCCTAAGGGCATCCAGAGCTCCTCAAATTTTTTGCTACTGCCTGACCATTTGTGAAGACTTAACACAGAGATAACAGGTATTATTTAACTGATGAGAAGTGAGGGGAATGGGAGAATAAAAGGAATGCAGGAAACTATAGGGATGGAGGAGGGCCTGGGTGGGTGTTTTAATGTCCCAGTTTTGTTCCTCCACACCCTCTATTCTCTTTCCTTTTTTTTTTTTTTTAAATAAATTGTACAGATGAACATGGGAGAAGTTCATGCTACTTGCTGGAAGCAATAAAGGTAAATTTCCGTGGCCCATGGATTCCACAGACCTTTGAGTGTCTCGCCTCATCCATCATGGGCTAACTTATGGAACCTAACTGTTCCGTGGCAAGACTCAGTAGCCCTTAGAAACTGGTGGCATGTCCTCAGGTATTTTCCACGCGAGTGAGAGACACGTTGATTCCATCAGCTTCTTCTTCACATGATGCCCGAGTGCCTCAGGTGCAGCCTTGCGATTTCCGAGGATCCTCTTCGACATTTTCAGACATCAGACTGCTGTCTCCAAATCCTCGTGGGAAACCATTTGGTAGTTTTGTCGACTCTCCAGGTAGGAGGCCAGATCTGGGTCACCAGCTTGCTGAGCCCTGTCACGAGGGGTCTTACCCTACAATAAAGAAACATGAAGATAAAGTCTTATGCTAACATATGTAGAAAAACAGATGAAAGCATGACCCAGAGAATGAAGAATAGAAGCAAATTTGGAGAATTTACTTGTTTGTTCTACAAGTTGGTGTTAAGTCAAGATTTTCTACCACAGTCATGAGATTCTGAAGATTTTCAAAATCCTTGTATGGTTTAGGACAAATCATGCAGTTCTGCAACAACATGCTATTTGATATATCACGCAGAAAGGCTCACATGCTGGAAGGAAGTGATTTTTCATTCTAGGGTTACAATCCCTATGTGAATGAATACGACACACAGTACTGTAGCTAACACTTGAAAAGTGCACTTCACAGACTACACGCTTTGCTAAAGATGTGCAGAGAGATGCCCAACATTTGAGATGAGTTCAACGTGTCTCATTCTATCTCAAGTACAAATCATTCTTTAGTGCATCAGTTTGCTACTCCATTATCTGAGCTACCTTGTGAGTGCTGTTAAATTGGACCATAAGTGTTGAACCTAAACTATGAAAAAATATTGGAAACGCATTAATGTATCTCCAGAAAAACACTCCTGTGCCTTGGATTTCTGGACAGGTGAAGATTAACTAGAAGCCACTTGTCTGGATTTCAGCTGTTGCAGAAATTACCTTTTGCAATGTACAGTATCTCATCTGAAAAAGAGATGTTCTCTCTCCCCCTTATAGGCTACCCCATACAGTATAACATGGTAGGAATTGTTTTTAATTGTCTTGCTGCAGCAAAGGTGCTTCTGACTCTGGAACCCAGAGATCCAACCACCTCTCAGCTGCTGACTGCAGGTTGCTTATGTTCAGAAATGCCAGAGGGGCATCTTCTGGACCTGGTTCCCAAGTGATCAGATTGTTGTATTGACAGAATATCCCTAGGCTTTAATTTTGCCTAGACAACTTTCTCAGCCAAGCGTACACCGAGAGAGGGTTGTGGTTAGTGTCACACCAGTGAGCATAGGGGCAAGCGAGGGCAAAAGAAAATGGTTAGCCATCCTCACAAAGCAAGTCAGCCACAATAATGAAGCCTCACAGATGCTATGCAATCACAAACCAAGGCTCCCCCAGGTGGTCCTTGCCCACAGGCCTCTCTTTTGACCACACAGGAGAAGGAGGATGCTGTGCCATGGCGATGCCTCATTCACACCCAACACACCAAATAGTTTGAGGCCAAGCTCACTATGGTGAAGATGACCCACACTGGGGACTGAACTGAAGTTTCTTGTACTTTTTTAAATCAATACAGTTTTCTAAATAAAAATAGCTTGTTTAAAAAGAGCTGCTCTTGGCACACAAGAGGAAACCTCAATCATGCACACAGCGGGGACGGATGCTGATCGGTCTCGCTTGGCTGCAGCATTTTATAACTGGTTGACGGGGCTGGATTACCTTGGAGTCCGTCTTTCTCAGAGAGGCTCCCGCATCCACCAGGAGCTGGCAGACGGCACGGTGGCGCTGGCAGGCTGCCTTATGTAATGCTGTCTCACCCCTAGACCAAAGTACAGAAACCAGCAGTAAGACACATCACACCAATGTACATTTACGAAGTATGAGGTGCAGAGGACAGAGAGAGAAGGATGCTGTATTTCTGCAAGGTTGCCTCTTGCTGGCAGAGGTAGACTTCTGCACTCTCTCCCTGCATCTACATCCTTTGACTCAGTAGGAAAGCCCACAATGCACAAATAGCAGACGAAGAATTTCTGAGGGATGGGAAAGAAACACGCACTGGTTTTATGTATTCAAAGCACCGAATGTCACTTCCCCATCCAGCCACCAGTTCTGCTAACTGCTGCAAACTAGCCACCTTCTTATTTCACAGTAGGCAACACAGCAACAGTGTTTTTTTCTTCCTGCAATTTCTTTCCTCAACCTCATTCTTGGATGCATCCTAGAAAAATCCTGCCCATCAAAGCCGTGACTGGTGCACTTGCTGCCCTGGTTCTGATACCCTGCTCTCTTGGATGTATGAGAGCAAGAGCTGTGGTTTTGTTTTCCACCACTGGACTGGTGAGCTACTGGGGAAGCTTGAACACATGCTTTTTTAAAAGAGAAGGCTATGTAGTGGGAGCAGATTTATTGCAAAGCTCCTCACTCAGACTGGGGCTATGTGTAACAGGCTTCTGAGACTGACTGTAGTACCGAGGTTAAAGAAATCTATCTAGATTTGCCTATGAAGAGGAGGAAAGTATGCTTTGAGTGGGTTGAAGAGCTGTCCTTAATACTAGTGTCCAGCAAGTAAGGCCGCTACATAACCTCCAAAATAGCAAATCACAAGAAATATGTGTAGCAGGACAAATATTGCACCCACCTACCCAGAAAGTGAGAGTGCATAAAGGAATTTCAGCCTCAGTCCACGACAGGGCAAGTTGAAATATTAACAGACAACCTTGTAATGAATCTGCCTCTACTGCATGAGAACCAAATTCAGAATGGGATACTATCTGCTTTCCTCCTGAGGATCAAAAGACAAATTCATGCTGCCAGTTACGGCTTGAATCTTCCCTTTTCAAGAGTTAGTGGCAGAGGGACCTTTGTAAAGGGAAGCCCTCATAGCCATGTTCACTTGCACTTTATTTCAGTGGCTGTGCTGTGCTACTGGATGAAGAGAAACAGACAGTCCATCCAGGCTCCATCACCCCTGGACTGCACACATGTACCTTGTGCAGAACCCTTCTGTCATTCTCCATTCACAGAGGAGGACAATGTGGGATGAGGAATGGTAGCTTTAACCCCTATGAGAAAGGCTACTTTTGCTTCCTATATATTCCATGTACTTCCCAGGATTATTCATGTTCTCCTTATATACTCTTTGTGACACCTTGATTACATAACAAGATGTAGAGCAGTTGGTAATTAGAAAGTAAAGTCTTTTTTTTTTTATAACAGAGGTAATCGAGGTTCTAACTACTTGAGATAAATATTCAACTGTACAGGTTGTGGCCATTTGGGACACTTAAGGCAGAGCACTCTGGATGAATCAAGAAGGGACTGAAGAAAAGGTGTAGAACAAGAAAAGTAATTTCCTGATTTCTGGAATTTACCCTTCATGTGGCTTCCTCAATAACTGGATTCGGGAAACATCAAAGCACCTTGCAGGATTTGTATTCCTCTAGAAAGATTAAGGAAGTGTGGGAAGCAACAGAGAGGAAGTCCTTTTTGGAGTTCAAGAAATATTTGTTTTAGTTCAGAAAGCCACATATGAGGTGGTTGCTGTTTGGCTTTAGGGGGACTTTTGTTTGCTTATTTGTTTTTGAAGAGATGTGCCACTTTACCAGCTTTTTCATTTGAAAGTTTGCCCTTGAAAAAAACAAGAGAAGTCTGCTAGGGTGATGTATATGATGTGAAGGGCAGAGTAGATTGTACTTACGTTTCACTGTCTGTCATGTCCAGTAATTCAGATGGACCTGCAAAAGACAGGCAGGTATGTCATATAGCATTTGTCTGCATGACTAGAAGAATACGACTACCAGGAGAAGATTCCTGGTGCAAATATGTAAGAGAGGCCAACTGAAAGTTCAATTTGCACAAATACACCAAGCTTCAAGTTAATATTTGCTTGTGCAAGCCTTTGCACTAGCAAAATTCTGAATGCACAGTCACTGCTGGAGTGTCAGCACCAGGGAGTAGCTGCCTCTAAATTATACTGGGAATGAATATTCATGGAGTTTATTTTCTCACTCTTCACCTTGCTCAATTAAGTGGTTCACATAAGTACAGTGCATTGAAAATGCTGATATACTGGAAACCCTGATATATTGCAAGTTAAAATCTATTGTTAGTACTAGAGGGAAAATGTCATTAGGAAGTTGAAATTAGCCAAATTCCGTCCTGAATGACATCTCTGTGCTACTCCATTTAATAGCGTTATACAGAATGTAGATCAGGGTGGAATATTCCCAGCGGTCTTTATATTGATATGCAAATCCTGTACTCTACTGGTTAGCAATGATCAGGAAAGTAAGATTAAGAAAAAAAGAAAAGATTTTTGTTAAGTGGGACAAAATAATGCATTTATGCTAATGTTCTTTTGTCCTTGATATTCTCTACAGGCAGATGTTTATAGCAGCAAATTCCATCACTGAATTACAGTGATATGGAAAGGCTAGGATCTGGATAGCATTTGAAACGAGAAAAACTTTTCCCTTTGCAGTCTGGCTTATTATTCTTCTCTCCACTGCTCTGGAGCGTACTGCCAGATGGTATGGGGCAGTTAGCAAGGGGAACAGTGAAACTTTACAGGAATTTTCCTTCCTGTGCATGAATATTTCTCTTCAGCACACTTTGACTTTGAAATTCAAGAGTCCTCGAGAGCTTACAGCAAATCTCACCTGAAACTGAGGAATTTCACACTACTTGCTTACAAAGGCCTACACACAACCTCTCTACACTTCTTTCACTCTGAGCGTGTGTCAGAATGGATGAGAGCAGCCTGTACGTCCCTCACTGCTTTTACAACATACGCATGCAGTATCACCAGGGACAGCCAGCTGCCTCGGCTCCTGGAGCTGCAGGTAGCTCTTTCACTTCTGTCATCATGAGAAAGGGGTGGTCAAAAAAGTAGCATGCTTAGTCCCCAGTGCACACGGCATTGCATACCTATCATGGCAATTCTCCAAACTCATTAGCCACTGTCAATTTTTAATGCACAGCACCCTGACTCTGCCGCCACGCATCCTCATCTCCGCACTTGGCAGTCATGTGTTCACTCCTCCCTATCAAAAAGAAGAAACACTCAAAGCCCCTGAGCTCCCATAAGCATGAAGAAGGATACAGGGGGCTAAGCAGGGCCCATATTGTTGAGAGGAAAGGAAGATAATGCCTGAGAAACTAAAAAGAGAAGAAAAACAGATGAAGAAAAAGACTCCTTTACATCTCCCAGGAGAAAATCATGTTCTCTCAAAAATAGAGGCAATTCCCTATGGCTTGCTGCAATGCCACATCCCAGCAATAGTAACCAGGAATGGCCTGCAGTGTGTTAGAAAAGACACTGCCAAGTAAACTATGGATGGGACAAGGAAGGTTGTGATGCAAAGGTAGAACAGGACTGGCTGCATTGGACATAGAAGTACTTGCCCTGGTGAGCAGCAAAAGGTGTTAAAATATTAGGAGGAAGGATGGAGAGAAGTTAGAAGAATATGACCTGAGAGGAAGGAGAAGCTGGGGCAGAGCAGGTCTGGAGAGATGGGAAGCCAAGGGTGAAAGAAAACTGGTCTGGAGCAGGAAGAAACAGCAAGGCTAGGACAGAGGAGCTGAGCCCTGAGGACTGAGCAGGCAGTCTGCAAGTACAGACCTGAGGAGGTGCCAGGTACATCCCGCCTGCGTGCAAAGGATGGTCCCCTGGATGCTGTCCCAAATAAAGCATTTCATGGGACTGCCCTGACTCCATTCCAGTCATACATAAGGGCCAGATACTGGGGTTAATGGATTAGCAGCACAACGTGGTACCAGGATTCATTTGTTTCATTCTTTCTGGCCTATCTCTGAAGCTGGAATGTCCCAACTCACACACAGCCTGAGCTGTATCCTTTACTTCTTTATTTTATTTTCACTTGTGCTTCTCTTAAACCATCTCACGCCCTCCTCCTAATTCCCTTTCCCCTCTTTTTTGGACCTCATTTTTACATCAGTCTCCCTGGCGCTGCCAACCGACCATTCCAAATCCCCCTCTGCCCCGGGACAAAAGCTGCACAGATGTGGGAAGGGCTGGCACTGGGAAAGCTAACGGCACTGTCATCCTGGCCCAGCGGGGAGGCGGCTGTTTTACTCCGGGACAAGAGGCAGAGAAAGAAAAGGGGACCAAGGCGCAGAGAGAGAGAGGACAAAATAACCCAATAGAAATCCGGAAGGGAAATGCATGAGTGAGATTTCTATCAAGGAAAACAGCAGGGGGGGAAATAAAAACAAAAGATAGAAATGTGTGGAGAGGTGGAGGGAGGAAAAAAAAAAAGGAGAGAGAAAGAAAGAGAGCGACTTGGGGGCTAAAGAATGGCAGGATGGGGACCGGGGATGGGAGGGGGGGGAAGAAGTTCGCATGAAAGGAGCTGAAAAGCATGACGCACCGAGGGGAAGCCCAGCTGAGATCACTCTCTTTCCTTAACATCTCCGATAGACTGTCTGTGTAGAATTATTAACTTTTTTCCTTCTCTCCTTCTGCGCCCTTTCACTCCACCAAAGCCTCTCTCCAGTTTCTCAGGAGGCAAAGCAGCCTGAGCTGGGGATGGGAGGAGGGAAGGGAAGGAGACGCTCACAAGCAGCTGCCCTTTAGCTGAGCTCACTACAACATAAAAGAGAGACTAAATGACCATATTTCAGAGGCATTTCCAAAATATACAGCACCATGCAGTCCAAATGGCCTCCAGGCCCTCAGCACACCCTGCCTTCTCCAATGGACATGGTTACAGCTACCCACAGGAGACCCACAGCTATTAACCCCTGCCAGTCCCTTGTCCTGTCAGTCCTTCACAGAACTGGGGAAGGACAGCATTGCTTTAAGCAGTAATATCAGACATTATCAGCAATTCTGGGTGTTTATCTGTCAAAACCCTCTTGGTTTAACAACTTGATTGTTTTCTGGGGTACAAAATTGTAATTGGTTCCTTACCTTCAAAGAGGGAATATTTTTAAAATAATAGTAATCTGCAAAGTCAGAACTATTTCAAGCCTTCCCCCAACTCCACACTCCTCATTTTTACCTGATGTGAAGATTAACAGTGTCTGTTTTTTACTGCTAGTGTCTTTTAGCTGAGAAGTTCCACTGTAAAACAGAGGGCAGTCACATTATGGGAGCATGCCTTCCATCGTAACTGTCTCTCAACCATGTTGACCTAAAATTTGGTAAAGTTGCTAATTAAAATAGATTATTTTATACCTTGTGCCTTCAAGGAAAACTGAGCTGTTTTCTGTTCACCCCTCACAAATGGCTGGTCTGGATGCAAATCCAAATGCATTGATAGATCTTCACTGTTTACTTTGCAGTGCTAAGAGTAATGAAAGCATCATCTTTTTTACCAGAGGATGCTATATTATGGACTGAGGGCATTGAGGTTCGAGGTCACAGAAATGTTCAGGATGGGATGCTCTACTGATTGTTCCGTCAGAAGTTCTCACCACAAACTCCTAAGGCAACTGTAAACACCTTTCCTCTCTTCTGTTTAAAATTAAAATACTCTAAAAGAACTACTGAATTCTTGTTTGTCTTTTGAGTCTCTAGAGAAGAGGATAAGATGAGAAGGCGGCAAACCTTGGAATGTCTTGTTTAACAGTTATAAATTATAAATAGTTCAGAACTGCCAGATAAAGACTGCAAGCCAAGTTTGATTCCAAATACAGATGACGATTTAGGAGGACCTTTTCCTAACGGAGCTTCTTAAGCCTTCCTTAATTCTGTTTGTGTTAAGCACATAAACAGTTAACTCTTCTCTAATATGTATGCATTAGGGTATGAGACAGTTGCTGACTGCAGCAATAAGCAGATGTGGTTCTGATACCTACTGAGTTTGGCCCTCAGTTTCAAGCTAAGCGTTCCCTTAGCCCGGCTACAGACAGATCTTAAAAGGTGACCCTCCTACTACAAGCAAAAGACCGCTGGTTTACAAAGGCAGTCTTGAACAACAGATAGGTCTGTGTATCTGCCCTTCCTGCACAGGGGATAGAAAGAAACTGTTTTGCAGGAACAGCAGCCAACACAACTGTTCCTGCAGCAGTAAGCAGCTGTTGTCCTCACACCTACTACATTGGTGCTTCAGCTGCTATTCCAGGCTTGTGCTAGTCTACTGCTAAGTCTCTGGCACCACTGCACAGCAGTCTCCTTGTGTGACTCATCTCTGCTTTTTCTAATTTAGGAAGCGTCATTTTCCTCCCCTTAACATCTGAAATCATTCTGATCAAGATCACAGAGTAACCTCTTGCTTTAATGTCCCCTGCATGTTTGCAGAAAGCGTAAAGCCGTCTCCACAAAGGACAGTCACAGCAAAACTACAAATTTTTCCCTCCTTCATAATCCCAGTGCTATGGGCAGGGAGGGATTCCTTACTCCTGTATTGCATTTGATTCACCCCACTAGTTTCACACTAGGCAGTTAAAATTCCTGGTATGGTGGGGTTTGTCTTGGTTGGTTGTTGTTGGTTTTTAAAGATATTCAGAAGATTTTCCCTGTGTGATTAATAATGGGTTTTTTGTGCTGTGTGCTGGAGGGTATTTTGCAGTGGAACTCTTGTTAATGTTAACTGTCTCCAGCCAAGTATGGGAGGCAGAAAAACTGCAGAGGATGTATGGCTGGGCAGAGGTAATTGCCAGAACAGGAGTAAGACTCATTTTTATCCAGGGTGGATATCAGCAGAAATAAGAAGCTAGGTAGAGGGAAAGCCTCAGATATTAGTAGCATTGGTCTTATACACTAATTAATGTTGAGAAGATGCCAGATGCCAGAGAACGCAACAGAAGAACAAGGACATTATGATGATGATGATTCAGCAAGAGAGCTCGTTTGTGACTGAGAAGTGCCCGGGGTAGAAATGAGTTTCATTAATTGCTTGGTGGGAGAAGAGAGGAGGCCTCTATTAGAGCATTGTCCCATGCACTCTCTGATCCCCAGAGAATGTTAAACAAACAATGCATTTGGAGAAGCCCAGAGGACATATGTCTGGAAAGCTGCAAAAGCTTCCTGCCATCCTTGGGGATAAAGAGGGGAGAGAGGAACTGAGCTGACATTTGCTCAACCTTCTGGTTTGTCTTTGTCTAACAGTCCGTAATCCCTCACATTTCTCTATTCACTTCAAAAATTCCCATGGATTCCCTGCTCACATCCTTACCAGCTTAAATGATCTCATTTTAAACCTTCACCAAAGGAATGGTAACTGGGTCAGACTGTAAGTTAAGCTGTATGTGCCCAGGAATAATCCTGGAGAGGCAGCCATGACAGTGAATTGGCACAGGTCACGTGCACTGTGAGGTGAGACCAGAGGCAATAAGAAAATTAAGTGAAATTATGCCTGCCTACAGAATTCAGAGGCATGTATATGCACTGTGACTAATGAGATAATCCAGAGAAGTTAAATAGGAGGTAGAGTTAGCACTGGTAAGACTTTTTACAACTGGGGAGAAAACTAGCCAGCATTTGGATGTAAGGCCAACTGCACTTAGCTGCCCATATGTAGGTATCTATACATGAAAGACTAAAGGAGCAGTTCAGACCCCCTCAGTCAGGTACCTGGGGCACAGTTCAGCTACCCACACACAGATGTTTTGTGCCATTTGATATGACTACGGGCAGGCCTTAGGATGCATTTGGAATGGCAGGGATGCTTGCTTGGGCTCCAGCTGCCAGTCCAGTATGGGTCTCCTACAGGCCTCGTATGTTATCTTGTAGACCCATGCAGATGTCCTGGATATCCAAGGGTAAATTACATTAGATAATTATGTGTAGCTAAATGAATAAAGCGCACAGGTAACTGTCAGCTGAATCGCTCGCTGGGCTGCACTGACCACTTTGACTAGGGTGTCCCTTGAGCTAGTCATGCTAGAAGTCTGCTGCTATTAAAGATGCCCTCCTCACTTCCATCTGCCACCGAAAGAGGACAGGTCTCTAGCATCTCTGTCATACAGGAGCAAATGAATTGAGTCATGGATTGAGTCTGTTGACAGTACAGAAACTTAGACCCATAAATTACATGACATCTGTATGTAAACACCTAAACTTAGGAGTCAAGCTTGAGCTAAATCCCACTCCAATTAACACACAAATGTTAACAGATGGCTTATTGCCTCTTCCTTTCCTGAGTTGTGCTTTTTTCTTCTCTCTGTACAATTTCCGCAGTAACTTTTGAACATTATCTAACATTTATTTCAATTGCCAGTCAGCCTCTGTGTTTAGTCCTAATACTACTGCTGAAATAATATAGCTGATTTTGACATCCAGAGTCAAAATAGCCATTGATATTTTGAAGAGGGATCAGAGAAGAGTTACAAGAATGTTTAAAGGACTAGAAAACTTTTGCTATGGTGCAGGAGGCTGATCACTAGGGCTTTAGCTCTGCATGCAGAGCAGTGACAATATTACTGTACCACACTCCAGCAGCCAGTGAACAAGATTACGGTAGTTCAACAGACAGAAACTCCTAAATGTGACTGCCTCAAACGTACATAGACACAGAAATTGCTGCATAGCCTGAGTAAGCATGCCTACAATCACGTTACTGACAAAGATAAAAAGAGTTGAAAAGAAAAAAGGGAAATGGCATGATCACAGCCTATAAATATAAAATGGACATCATAAATTGTTGTTATTGTATGGTCTTACATCTAACAGAGACATAATACTGGAAGGTTGGAAGGGAAGCTAGGCAAATCCAGTCTAGAAATAAATGCACAGATTCTTAACCAGTGTGTTATTAGATACTGAAATACCACCAATGGTTGGATGGGCTCTCCATTGCTGTAAACATTTTAATGGAGATTAGATGCTTTCTACAACATATGCTGTAATTGAAAAACAAATTAGTTCAGAGGATTCCTATACCAGAGGTTCCAACTAGAGCATCACACTGCTTCTTCACAGTGCCCCCACTGATGCAACTGTGAAAACACCCATTCTTCTCAAAAGCCATCTTTATTTTTGTTTCCACACTTCCCTTTATCTGGAGCCATCACTGTCATTGCTACTGCATTCCTAGCCTCCTGCTTACACATGCTGCAGGTGGACATTCTGCTGAGGATGACCACAGATGAGCGAGGGCACTTCCAGCCGCACGGCGTGGTTTTACCTGACTGACGCTTGGCTGAAGTACAGCTGTCTGTGGCTTTGCCCACTGTGACTCACCATGCTCCAGGATGTATTTCACAATCTCGCCATGCCCAGTCTTGGCAGCATGGTGCAACAAGGAGCAGTGATCCGGTCCTTGCATTAACAAATTGGCTCCTTTTTTACAGCATTCTATGAACTGGAAAAAAAAGCACACAGAAAGATAAGATGGGAAGAGCAGAAAAACAAATATGCAAGCAAATTATTTACTAATCTTCATAGGAGGTCAGCACAAAAATGGAATAAAATGAAATAAAATATTACTTTAAAGCCATCTTTTAGGCCCCAGTGAAAAAATAGCTGAAACTAGAAGTATCAACAATTCTATGGGTAAAGAAGAACAGTTGTATTTCCTAAACAATGAGACATTGCTACTCTACTGGCAATGAATTATTGCTTGCTAGCAATGCTTGCAAACCACTTCTGGTGAAACTGTTGGGATATTTTAAAATATATGTATTTGATAGAAAATCCGTGCTTCTCTACTGAAAATTCCAATTTTTCCTCAGCACATGAGACACACACTTTCTGACTAAGCCAGGTAACTCCACTCAAAAATCCACAGGGAGGTGGGCTTCAGCTGTCCCAGATCTCCCTTCCTACTCTCTGCCCCCTACCTGGGGATGACGGAGGGGAAAGCACTACATGGGGTAAGAACGGGCAGAGAAGAGCAACTGGCCAGGTCTCAGAAATGCTGCAAACTCTGGGGGGTTTGCAGTACAGATCACTGCAGAAAAGAGAGAGAGGATTGTGACAGTGAGGCATCATTTATGATGCAGTACATCTGAAGAAGGGCAAGAAGTTTCCCTGTCAAACTAAACAGGCAAAAAGTTTTCAAGAAGCAGAAAGGAAACAAAATTTTTATGACTGCTGGTTGAAGAACTGCTCCCTAGATGCTGCAGCCACAAGCGCAAGGGTGGAGGTTTAGAAGGGGCATCTGCAGGCAAAGAGCTGGCCTAACAGTACTGTCATTTTTACAAATGGCTCCAAGCTGGCTTCTCGCAGATAAAATTGCAATCATTAATCACAGTCCTCATCCAAATTTGAGGGCATATTTTCAAATCCTGGCTTGGCTACTGAAAAACGTAGCCTGAATAACTGTCAGACATGGAGCTTCAGACTTTGGGCACAAAACATTTTTTTGCATGGGTGCCTTTTCCTCCCAGTAACTAACAATACCAAGACACTACATGTTTTGAGACATCCATCAGATGATAAAACAACAAGCTGAGGTTTGTACTACCTGGTCTGGTGGTTGCCTAGGTAGAAAATAAGAAGTCTCTAGCAACTCTAGGGGCTTGGCCACCAACCGCAGTGCTGTAAAATATCCTTTACTGTGTAAGGCTGTGTCAGAACTACCCTGCTGTTCAGTGTTGCATTTGCCAGTATAGTAATTTCCCTGTTAGTACCTGACACATAGCTCTGTGCAGTGCGCTATGAATCCTCGGCTGAAAGGTGCTGTCTTAACACCAGGTCCTATTCACTTGAATTTCATATCTCACCTGACTGATGTGTTCCCCTAATACTCAGGGTTTCCTGGAAAGGCTGTAAAATGGCATTTGCCAGCAGTCCCTACAGCAGTCTATTTATGTTTTGAGCAGAGGTGTGATAAAATTTGCAGTATATCAGACCTGCAGAAAGCTGTGAAAAAGTGGACACTCAGTGCTCTGTACTTACCTTCAGCAGATCACCAGCTATGACTGCCTGTAAAAGTGCTGCAAAAAACAACAGAAAACTAACGTTAGGCAGAAAGCATTACGCGTATAGCCTCACAGCTGCAAACACAGCTCACAGTATGTGCAAGTTAAGACCAATGCCTCAATCCACTTGCATTCTCATATACTATCAAAACCAATGCACACCCTGCACTGTCAGGCAGGTGGAAGACTGTCCATGTTGCACGAAAGCTCTAGGGACATCAAGTCAGCATTTCCAATGCTGCCCTGAGTCTACTCGAGTTTTTGCCTTGAGACACTTCAGGGACCTTTCAACAGTGTCCACAGGGTGGGCCCAAGTCTCTGGCACCTGAGCTGTCACTGAAGACATCAATGTCAAACAGAGAGAACCTGAAAGCATCCTCAGACCTCTCAGACTTTATTCGTATTGATCAGTTAGTGGTCAGTTAGTGTCAAATACATTGAGAGTCTCAAGTTGCACATGATTAGGTAGCAAAATAGAAATTTCTTAATAATTATTTGTATTACAAAGTATTTTGACATGCCAGTGGGCAGCAAGTTCCCAGGTTTGGCAGGCAGGGTCAAACACAGAGCAGGAGCCAGTCCCCACCTTTTTAGCCTTTGTAATTTAAACAGACACAGAAGGAAAGAGACACAAAGACAGGCAAAGTGAACAAAGGCTCACAGCAAGGCAGAACACAGGTGTGCACAGAGCCAGGAGCTGTTCACTATCCACTACTGTCTACCTTGTGCCTATTAAAAAGAAGAAGGAAGACAAAAGCCTGGGACTGTATTGCCCTATGTATAGGCTGCATTCAGCTAAAAACATCATGGTGGCAATAATCACAAACATGAGAAGTTATTACAAATCTACTGCTATGCAGCTATTTCCTCCTCTTCTCCTCCTCCTCCTCCCCATCATGATATATAGTAAAAAACAATTATGAATAATCTTTCTGAGAAAGTACTTACGTGGTTTTCATCTTAGAAAGCATTAAACATCTGCCTCAGTTCATACTTTTTCAAGAGTGCCTAAGCCCATTTCTATCTTCGAGTCTAGGCAGTGCAATCAAGTTAAGCATTTGCTCAAGTGCCATCCTTGATAAAGATGCCAAAAGCTCACATAGGGAGGAACAAGAGGGAAGAAAACCATAGTATAGCTGTGCCTCTGAAAAATAACACAGAGGAAACTGCACAGTGTGAATCCCACCAGGAGCTTGTTACGGCTTCAGAAATGACAACACATCCAACCTAAACACTGCTAAGAGGAACGACATGCAAAGACGACTCAGCAAATGTCCCTGTCTTTGAAAACACCTGGGGTTGTACGTGGCTTCCTGGTCTCAGTAATGCCTCATGCTCTGGCCACACGGCAGCAGGAAAAGCAAAAACCCAGTCCAGCTAAGTTCTGACTTGGGAAAGCAGTAGCAGCAATTCTTGTGACATTGGATTTAGGGCAGTTTTACAGTGACCATGAGTTAAACTAAGTCATGCAAATCCCCCCTGGCATCCGTGGGAGGGAGGGTACATAGATTTGAGGAATGGAAAAACACCAGAAGGTAAGAGCTAGAACTGGAAAAATAACATGTACATCTTTTCTTCAGATTTCATTTTCAGGGGTTTATGTCCTTTTTTCCCCCAATAGTTCTAATAGTAGCTCAGCCCAAATTAATAGCAGAGCAGAATTTAACCCCTGTGTCATTCATTTTATCTTTTTCCTCCTTTTTTTGCCAATCTGGGCTACTACAGTCTGGACTTGTATAAATATTTTGCTCTCCTCACACACACGAAAAACAAATGAACTGGTGACACCAGCTTTTCATTGCCTTCTACATCCAGTGTTTTAAGACATGGCTTCCCTGAATTTACTTCCTAAGAGGCAGAGATCCATTTTCTTACACAAACCATGCTTAAGATTATTACAGAATCACAGATTGGCAGGGGTTGGAAGGGACCTCTGGAGATCATCTAGTCCAACCCCCCTGCTAAAGCAGGATCACCTAGAGCAGGTTGCACAGGATCGCATCCAGGTGGGTTTTGAACATCTCCAGAGAAGGAGACTCCACAACCCCTCTGGGCAGCCTCTTTCAGTGCTCGGTCACCCTCACAGTGAAGACATTTTTCCTCATGTTCAGGTGGAACTTCCCGTGTTCCAGTTTGTGCCTGTTGCCCCTTGTCCTGTCGCTAGGCACCACTGAAAAGAGTCTGGCCCCATTGTCTTTACACCCACCCTCTAGATATTCGTAAGTATTGATGAGATCCCCTCTCAGTCTTCTCAGGGCACGTTGCTGGCTCATGGATAACTTGTTGGCCATCAGGACTCCCAGGTCCTTCTCTGCAGAGTGGCTTTCCAGCAGGTCAACCCCTAACCTGTACAGGTGCATGGGGTTATTTCTCCCTAGGTGCAGGACCCTACACTTGCCCTTGTTGAATTTCATTAGGTTCCTCTCCTAATTATAGTTTAGAAAAGTCAGGAGAGAGATCTAGAAAAGTATGAAGTGAAAAGAAAAGCCTGGCAAGCCATGACAAATCTTCTACATTGAGTATCCATTACCAGAGGTTGGTCTGGTGATAGGGCCATTAGGATAAAGCAGCTCTAAAACACATTCAACATAATTAGACCAATCTTTTCCTCTCTTTCCTAAGCCTCCAATCCAATAAAGCATTTAGGCAGGTGCTTAGCTTTGAGCTAATAACATTCTTTTCACCAAGTCTACCTGCACACTTAAAATGAAGTGCTTTGCTAGAGTAGAACCTATTGCATAAATGAATACATTACAGATCAGCAAAACCAGCTGGTATAACAAGCAGATTAGACTACAGTAAAATAATTCGGTGCTGTAAGCCAGGATGCTGGAAGACTTAGAAGCTATTGAACTAGAAATGGAGAAAGGTTCTTTAGAATAGGGAACACACTTACATAAACTTATGAATATTGCTTAGCACACTAACCCCATAAACACATATGGGACTCCTGGGCATATTGAGGAGGAGGGTGAAGACGGCAAAAATCACCTGGTTGTTAAAGAGGTGGTAAAACAGGCAAGCAGATGGCATTGACGAGAGAGCAGACTGAGAAATTGGACAAAAATGCTGTTAACATGCAATGCCAGGCTAGCTTAAAATTAAAAACATTAAAGTGAGAATGGTTTTATTTCTACTGAGCAACACTGCACTATTGGTGTAATATATAACATGAATTATGCAATTGTTTTATCATATCATAAAATACCTTCAGGTCTTAAAGATGCCTCAAAATTGCTTGATTTCATAAATATTTAAATCAAGTCATTATTTTCTCAACTTCTCCTAAGACAAGCATTTGTCATGACTAATAAAAATGTTTTATTACATTTTTCATTTATTTAGCAAGCAGATTCATTGCTGATGAAAGGTGACAGCTTGGCAAGACTGGAGACTGAAGTGCTCTGTCCATGTAACGAGGAAGCACTCAGTCTGCCGCAGCGGTAGACTCCCCAGGTTGCCTTCTCAGAGAAGCTCAACCCTCTCTACAAGTACACCCCTGCGGACAGCCCCTCCTCCATCACTGACCTTTCTGCTGAAACTGCCAGCAAATGTGTCAATCACTACCCAGGGTGATGGATACTGACAGAAACAATTACCTGCTAGGATATTGACTGCTAGAAATGAGGACTATGGATGTAACAGCTGCTAGAGAATTACGAATTTTTGTTTCCACTGGGTGAATTTTGAGATGAGGTTCTAACCATGCCTGTGGGCCAACTTACAAAAGAAACCTCATTTAAAACAAACAAACAAAAAAACCCACAAAAAACAACAACAAAACAAAAACCCACAAACAAACAAAAAACCCCACCCAAAAACCTCAAACACTTGACTTTTAAATATTGAACAGCTACAAGTGGATAATGCACTTACAGAAAAAAAAACACCATGTTAAAAAGGCTGCTAATTGAATTCAGGTAATGCTGCAAGTTATTGCAGCTTGAGACACAGAAATAATACCTAGTAGTACCTCCACACATGCCAAAACCAGCACCTTTCCTGTGGCCTGCGTCACTCATGTTATTTCTATGCCCACTCTTTCTATTGGAAACAGCTATTTTTATTTCATATTCTAAAAATATAAGTTAATGCTACTGAGTTACATTAAATATTTTTGTTTCTCAGCCATAGAATTAACCTACTAAATTACAATTGCTCTCTGGTTCTGCATGTGAAGTTCGCAGCATTAAAACAGCATTGTAAAATCAGTCATTAAACACCAGGAAACAGATAACAAAGGAGTGAGGTATTTGTACCCAGTAACTTCAGAGGCTGCAAGATGCCTAGGAAGCCTCAAAGGGCTGTCTGGATGGTCAGAAGAGAAAATAACCCTGCACAGAAAGCAACCTGGTCTCCCTGCAATAGTTCCTGTTGCGCATCTCCCTCCACGGACTACAGAAGTTCCAGGGAAAATGGCATACCACTTGCAGTACCTAAATTAAGAGTCAAACTAAAACAGAGAGGGGATCCTTCAGAATGGCATGATGCCATGAGACATGTCTGATCACCTGCGAGAAGGACAACCAAACAAGGACAAAATGGGGAGGTTTCCAAGGTATGATACTCCTAAAGCCAGGCAACACTCATGGTCTCAGAAATTTTGGGAGCTATTTGTATAGCATACAGGTGCAACATGAGAACACTTCATAAACATAAGGGCTAACAAAGACAGACCCACGACTCCAATGCTTCAAAAGAAAACAGCAGGAGAGGGACAGAAGTCATCACTGCCATCTTGCTCACTTCAAAAGCAATGAAGATTCTCAGAAGCATTGCGAGTAAGGAAAACCTCAGCCAACAACTACCCGTTCCCATCTGCCCTGCAGGAAAATTCCCTCCTGGTGCCAAAGCTGCTGATCAGCAGCAACACCAAGGACATAAGCAGGGCTCAGCACCAGGCTACTATCATGCCAGAATTTTGCTGCTAAAACACTTTCAGAGAGAACATGGAGAAAGAAATTCTTATAAACCCTTGTAGGTAACATCTCAGGATCACAAGGTTCTTTGTTTAA